ATCTAAAACTTGATTCATAAGTCTCTGAAATTCTGCAGGAGCATTAGCTGACCCAAAGATCGTACGTTCAAATTGACCAGTATCATCTGGAGTGATGAAAGCTGTTTTCAGTTTCGCTTTTTCAGTTAAAGGAATCTGCAAATATCCATGAGCAAGTCCAATGTAGTGAAAACTTTTTACTCACCAAGACATTCAAGAAGATCATCTATCCTAGCGAGTGGAAATTTATCTTTAACAGTTTGCAAATTAAACTTTCTATAATCTATCACTAATCGTAATTCACCTGTTTCTTTCCTTATGAGTAAAACAGGACTAGCATATGGAGATTTTGTTTCAGTAAAAATTCCATATTTTTCCATTCATTTATTATCTTCTTTATAGAAGCACACTCTTCAGCATTGGTTTTATACGACTTCATGCAAATAGGCTTACTCCCTTCAATTTCTTTAATATCCATTTTTGTTAAGTTTGTACATCCTAATTCCTCCATATTTAATGCAAAACAATCTCGATACTCATTTATCAAATGTAAAACTTCCTGTTTTCTCTCTGGCATAATATTGTTATTAACTTTAATTTCTTCTAAAGTAATCAATCTCTTAAACTTTTTAATTTCATTTATTATCAGTATTTCCTTTTGACTTGAATTTTCAGTTTTCTGATCTGAACTTGGTTCAACTAATTCTGCTACTTCCGCTCTACCGATACATTGATTCTCTTTCAAAATTAGTTTTCGATCGCTGTAGTTAGTGACTGGTATCACTGTTTCTCCCTCTATTACTTTCAATATTGAGCCCAACTCATCTTCCGATCCACTTATTAAAACATAACCTTATTTATTTCATCAGTTTTAACTTTCACGAAATTAACCGTATTACTTTCGATTTGAGTTTCTTGGGAAACCTTCGGTTTAATTTGCGGAATGTTGCTATCATTTTGCAACTGTGAAAATGGGCAGTCATTAGCATAGCATATGTGCAAGGTATTACACTAAGACCCCGCTTAACACGGGGGATACGTTCCATCGAAGTAGAGCGTAATGCGAAACAGTGCTAAGTGAGGCTATCTTAACATGTAAATAATGGGGTTAGGGGAAGACGGATAAAAAATGGTTAGGCATTAAATTTAATAATGTTTTTTTTAATAAAATTTAAATCAAACATTTATTTTTTACAAAAATAAAAACAATATAAACGCATATACTTTTAAAAACAAATAAAATTCTCAGTCAGATCATTCAGTCTATTCTGGGTTTCCAATTTTCTGCCTTTTTGTTAAGAAGGCATTATGATAGATTGGCTTAATGGCATATTGCGTTCAATTTTGTCGTCAATCCATATAGACAGTCGTTTTTCCATTTCCTCTATAATGTTATTTCTAGATCAGGTAATTCTAGTTGCAGAGCTTGACGTAGTTGCAGTTGCCGATGACAGTATTTTTTCTTTATTCTTAAGAATTGTCCTTATTGTTGAAGTTGCCAAAATCAATGCAGCACTAATTTGAGATTGACGTTCACCAGAATCTAATCTTCTAATCACTTGCATTTGAGTTTCCAGTGAAATGCTTTTTCTGGTTGCTTTCTTTTCTTGTTTTTTTATTATCACCCATGATAAAAACTAAAGATCATAATATTTGTCACTGTATTAATCGTTATAGTATTATATAAATTTATACTTACAATAATGTCAACAAATGTTTCAAATGATAAAAATGCGTCTGTACCAAGCAAGAAAAACAACTAACAACACTGTTTCGGATATGTTATTTGGAAACCTAGCGCTGCGCACAATTTCGGAGAATCCCCGGGTTGAAATAAAAGAGCGCTAAACCGAAACAGCGTTAAGCGGGGTCTTACTGTACCTATCTTGGTGTATGCAATATGTGGTAAATCAATCCATGTTCGACCAACTAATAAGTCGCATGGTTGCATTTCATCTCCTACAATTAGAACTGTGAAAGTCCTTTCCTTCCACATTATCAATCTCTAAGTTAACAGTTACTTTTCCCAGTGTTCTAGCGGCTGGTTTACTCTGATTCTCAAAGCCAAACAATTCCTCCACATCAGGTTTTATAGTAAGATTCAGTCTCTTAGCCACAGACTGTTTCAATAAACACGAACTAGAACCCGTATCTATGATTACAGTAATTTCTTCTCCATTATTGATGCGAGCATACTTTAAATATACAGCTGGTGAAGCACCTGAATTCTGGTCCATGGATAAATTATTTTTAACCTTTGTCAAGTCTGGATTTTTAGACGTATACTTTTTAAAAGTATGACCCTTTTTCATTACATTTGTCGCAAATATTTATTTTTTAGGTTGAGGACCATCCGTCGATAATGTCATAATATCAATTGAAGCATTTCGGCTCACCCTTTTTCATTGCGGATGCCAGAAATTATATTGCGAATACCTTTTCCTTTCGTCTGTTTTATAAAATTTATCTTCTCAGAATTGTATTTATTATCAAAACTGTTTTTAAAACCCACTTTGAAATTACCATCTGTCTGCATTGAATCGTTAAGATTTCTGTGTCTTGAATACTGATTATAAGATCCTACATAAAATTTAGAACCAAATTTGGGCTTAGAATTATGCCTAAAAGTTTTATTTTCTACTTGAAGTACTTTTATCCCTGCCCAAATATTTTCATATTCATCTAGTTTTTCTGTCAACTCTTCAATATTAATGAATTTAGACCAATCATCAATGAAATGGTCTTGGATAGCAGCGGGGACTCTTTTCTTTAATTGATCTGTAATAATTTGTTTTAAAGAGTCAAAATCTGTTACATTTAATCCAGCAAGCCACTCTTCAAAATAATTTTTTAATTCAAACATGAAGTCCTTCCACGTATTAACACAATGTTTTAATATGATCAACGAACTTTTGCCGAAACTGTTCAGGGCTTAACTTAAATTTTCTCAGTAGCAGTTGCTTAACGTGCTTATAGTCGTTAGCTTTTTCTTCTGATTCACGGGCAATTAATTAAGTTATTTCATAAGGCAATAGACCCAACAGCTGAGAAACCCAGTTTTGTTCTTCTAACCCAATACGTCGTGCCTGTCTCTCAAATAAAACTAGATAAAAACTTATATCACCTTCATTCAAATCATACTTATGCATTAATTTACTCATATCACAAATATTACTTGTACTAACATTAGAAGGAACAGAATCATTTACATTACTACTTCTGATTTCTGCCTCTATTTTCAATTTTTCAAGTTCAAATGTTCTTTGCTTATCTTTTTCTTTTTCTAAAATTTCTAACTTTTCCCTTTCTAAACGATCATTTATAATTCTGTCTAGCATTTGTTTCGTTATAATTCTTTCTATTCAAAATCATATCTCTTAAGCCTACAATTTTAATATCAGAAGGGACATCTACATCAAGTTCCAAAGCAAGTTCTTTTAAGTCACATTTCTTGCCTCTTGCCAAATAAGCCATCTTAGACTTCAATTTTCAAATAATAATACAATAATTATACTTAAGTTCTTTCTGTTTAATACTTAGACATAACATAAACAGTTTATAAATTCACGACCTTTCTACTTTCAGTTTTGGCAAGCTTCCACATTCAGTTTAGGCTTAACGTACATTAAGGCAATACGTTGTTAAATCCTAGATAATAATTCTAGTTAATCCCACTTCTGAAATGTTAGCAATTAATTAGTTCCTTTATTAAAAACACATTCCGTCAACATTAATTGTTAAATACTTGCTTCAAACTTGCTTTATTCAGAAACATTACTGTTCAAATATTAATTGTTAGATACTTGCTTTATTCAGAAACATTACCGCCAACATTTCTGCTGAAAAAACATTACAGTTCAAATCATTACCATTCTAAAAAAAACTGTTGTTGCCAATTGGGAAAATACATTTTAAATAAAATTAATACGTTGCGTTTACACATGCGAAAACAACTGGTTTCAGTATGATGGAAGGTTTACACATTTTATTAGTACTGTGCGAGAATACATCAGTAGGACATATCACGACTGCTGGGTTAGCAGAGGCAGATCAGTCGCATGGCTATAGCAATCCTCCTACCTAATGCATATGGATTTCTGCCTGCGAGGATAAATGAAGTCCATGGTATGCGAGGCGACTATAACATCGGACATGGATCTCATCACCAGGATCAAGGAAGCAGCGGCATGTGTCTATAACACACTTACCCATTTTGAAAGGGTCTGTGAATCTGTGTTTTGACTTTATGAAGCATGCATTATGGCGAATGAAAGGAATTTTGAACATCATCTGTTATTTTAACGAATTTGTTTTAGTAAAAATCATGTCAGCTCTTCTTTTGAGATTTTTCCTTTCTCCTGCTCAATGCCTGTGAACATTGCCTTTAGCGGTTGTCGTTCATTTTTTCAAACAAACGTTCCTATGTAAATCTTGTTTGTAATGGTATGACAGACCGGCATGTTAAGTTTGGCCATGATCTTTTGAGAAACCCTGCATATTTAAAAAGTGAAAAAATGTGTAATGTTTAATGTTTAATGAATGCTATAAAAATATTTAATGTTTTTAATTAGATTTATATTGAATTAAATATATTTTTATTTAAATCAGTTAGCTTAAAAAAGAAAAAAATATTTTTAAGATATGCATCTATTGCTTTTAAATAGTTTAGTGTGTTAATTAATAACAGAGAGATTAAGTATGCGAAAACATATTAAAGTATTAAAGAAGTATTAAAGGAATAATATAATGTTTTTTGGAACAGCAACAGAACTTGAAAAAAAAAGTGAAACAACCTAGTTTATTAAACCCCGACAGTTAACCATATAAAATTGCCTTTCAAGACTAATAGCCTATTGGGGCTTTTAAAAAAGGGGGGAGTTGAAATATTAGAAGACATTAAGGTTATTATTGTAGGTTTGCCTGAATTATTCATTGCCAAGATTTTATTAAATTATAGGTTTTTCTAATTTTAAAGTTGTTGTTAAATGTTATTTATAATTAAATTAAAATATATTTTATAGGTAGATGCTCTTCATTTGTATAACACACTGCTTGATCATTTCCAAAAGGAACGAGAACCTGCAGTCAGAGTCAAGTTGGTTAATATTCTTTCTCAGATGGTTCAAGGAAATTTAATAGAAGCTTCAACTCTTTTTGAGGATTTGCAACCTTTATTGAAAGCTGAAACTTCCCATAAAGTGATTGCTGTCTTTCTTGCCACTTTTCATCGTATCAAAAACGTCGACAAGGATGATAAACTTCATCTTCACATTTTTAGTTTAGCCAAGAAAGTGAGTTTTTTGTGTATTTTGTGTTTAGAATATTTTTCAGTAAAAGTTTATTTTAAGGTACCCTTTGGCGAAACTTGGCAGTACTTGGATACCGAATTTGTGCAACTCTTTGACTTGTTATTTTGGCTTGCATACCGGCGAAGCCAAAATAACAAGACAAAGAATTGCCAAACTCAGTCTCCATCGACCTATTTTCACTTAAAAACAAATCCCAGAATTGCACAAAAATGGCATTGCGCACTTCCTTGACTTTATCCATGTACACATCGACCTATTTTCTCTTCAAAAAACATCAGAGAATTGCACAAACTAGGCTTTGCGCTTTTCCCTTGAGTTTGTCCATGTATGCATCGATATATTTTCATTTAAAAAGTCAAAGCAGCACCCAATTCTACAGTAGAGACAAACGAAAAATACATAATCTCAATAAACTACATTTTAAACCAAACAATAAAATAACATAAAAAAGGATTATGCATTTAAGCATTATACAAAGCAAATATCCACTTACCTCTGTGGCACACAAAATTCCTTAACAGTATCCAAAAACTTCCTAATATTATCTGAACTGGAATCCGTATATTGGCATCACCACATAAATTCACAAAAATAAGAGTAAAAAATATCCTACGTATTCCGGACTGTTTTGAACATGGCTACTAAGTAAACCTTCATTTACACACCATTGAATGAATGCACTTTTCCCCTTTCATTCTAAATTGTACAGAAACTTCAAATTAAGCTTACTATATTCAGCCATTCTACCGTCTAAACAATGAAACGAGCAATGTATTTCCTAAACACACACATCACAAAAGCCCTTACAAAACATCCCATGATTCAAAATTTCCCAGAATAATGCAAACGATTACGTCATAATAGGGCTTTCATAACATTCAACTATTCAAGTTACCATAAATGAAACAACGTGGCAATAAACATAACAATAACATGGCGATAAATGGCACAATTTCGCGATAATACAAGGGGTGCCCTAAAGTCAACTCTAATCTGCCAATACTATTTTTTGTTTTAATTTTTTGTCATGTTTAAGGAAATGTAATATGTTGAAATAATTATATTGTTGCATTTTTCTCTTCTCGCACCAGTTATGTTATTTTCTTCCTTTACGTTCGTACGGGGTTCGTAGATTTAGAGTGAATAACAACGACGATGAAGTATCGAAACACACTTTATTTACCAACATTGTCAGGACAGCTCTAAAACACGTTTTTACAGTCGTCGATGAAATGCTATAGACACGCTGACACAATCAGCGACACAGCCTTCACACTGTCAGGCAATAACGGTGAAGACAGCTTCCTGCAAAGCACCCAACTCTGCTTTCTGGAGTACAGCTCCCGACTCTGCTTGGTCGTTCTCGGAACTCCACGTACTCTCAAGACTCTCCACGCTACAACTTGCGATGTACTCGACGACACACGAGCACAGATCCCGACTCTTCAGTTCGGTCACTCCCGGAGCTCAACATGCTTCGACGATACACTACGAGCCTCTTGTGCTGCACTCGATGACCCACTTGGCACTCGCTGCCCGGCTGTCAACTTGATCCACTCCGCAGGGACTGATTCGCTAGACGAGACACACACACGCTCGCCCTCTCGATACTAACTGACTGCGGACCAGCAGGGTTTATATAGCTTTCGACTTGTGTTCGAGAACATTCTAGGCTAAACCAGTAAGAATTCGTTCCAGAAGGTTCTCCATCCATCCATGGTATATCGCCAATTTTGTCGCCAAATGTGGCAACCCTGCCCTCCTTTGCCATTTTATGCCAACCCTAAAACTGCTTTGCGGGGAAACCATCTTACTGCGCCTGTACATTTTGTAACAATATGTTGTGCCCCAGGTTGTATTTTCATATTTAGTTAATTTTTAACTATATAGTCTTATATAAACTGTCAGGAGAGAATAAAGGATATGTAATTCATTAACCTTTCATTGCTATTCCTCTGACAAATCAGTGAAAAATTAATTCTGTTCAATTTATAAAAGAAGGCCTCTGCATATCCATATACACTTTGAGTATATTGTATTCTTTATAATAATTTTAAAAAAGGGAGTACATTCTGATTAGCTATTCCTCCACTGAAATGTTGTGAATTCGTTGCCAACTCATTTTTCACCAAGCTAATATGCCAAAAGCAAGAAGTATTTTCAGAGTTGCTCTGCATTAAAAATTCTATGATAGAACAATCAGTCAATAAAATTTAAAAAGTAAAACACGTCCTTTTCGAAAAATCCTATATATTCTTTTCATTATTGTTCTTTTCATGTACACAGCAATCAATTTTACTAAAAAAAAAAAAAAAAAAAAAGTCAGAGAATTAGACAGTTATCGTGATAGCTTTTGTTAAGCAGATACAACTATCTTAAACCAATTTCCAATCCTGCCATTTTTCACCATGCTTGGCTATTTTTCACTTTGTATTTCCATAAAATTTGTTATTTAAGAAGTATAATGTATAGAATATGAATTTTTGCATTCTGTACTGTTGAACAAAATACCATATTTTTGCAGAATGCAACTCTTTCTTTTCATCAGCCCACCAACTTGACAGTACATTTACCCCATGACACAGAGGCTTGTCTCCTTTGATAGTAAATTCCTTCTTTCCAGAGAAGAGCGAACTCTCGTGTGACCTCCTCACCCTACAGCATATAATTAACACACCTTCTGGACAATCCTAAGTGTTTTGGCACAATACCAGCCAAGGCTGTGTTTGACAAGATTGAGCTATATAACTACGATTCGAATCGAGCAAAAATTGTTCCCAAAGGGTGTTATTAAAGTAGTGATCTAGTGTTAATAATGGGTAAACTGACATAGTATTTTGTTGGTATGTAAACCCGATTAATTCTCGATAAGTTGGTTTAGTTTTTGTATAAAATGATGTAAATTCTGTTTCCTAAATGCATTTTGAAAAATGATTAAATTTTGGGACTCATCCTCAGCAGAATAGCATGCAATAGATTAGTTTTCAAATTTATGGGATCTTGATGTCAAGATAAATACAATTTAAATGGATAAATATTTGCTATGCAATGTGAGAAATTATGATACACAATTTCAGTTTTTTCTATGTTGTGTTGGTAACTTGTATATATTGATTAACTTAAAATAATATATAATAATAAATAAATAAATAAAAATTCCTTCAAACTTCTACCAGAATGAGTGGCATAAGTTTGGCGAGATTTCTAACAATTTGCATGGTCAAACGGAATTTTGTAATCGAATTAAGTTTAACCTCACTGTTTATGTCTGAAATCCCCTTATTTCTTTTAAAAATTCTTATAATTAAAATGTAGGCATTCGATAATAAAGTTAATAACAAATAAAATTACTCTTTTTATAGTTTTAGATGGGAAATTGATTCTTCTGTGTATATGGCTTTTCCACTGTGAATTGCATTTTTTACATGCTCAGTTATCTAGAATTTGGCATTTCCTGAGCTTTCCAGATAGTCGAGCTTTTACTGTATTTAAAAGATCATCAGACCTTAACTGACATTATATATGTATAATAGAATTATAAAAATTCTGAAATTTTTAAGGTGTTTTTTATTTATAATATTTATCTATTAATTATATCAAACAGTAATTCTTTTTTTAAAGCTGGAATTTGTTTCTCTCTTTTCGAGATTATCAAAATAAATAGGTCCTTTATTATTAAAATAGCCATAGTATTTAATTGCTAAAACAAGCATAACTTAATTGCCTAATTCTTAACACTTCATTTCAAATGATGTCTGATGTGGCAGTTACTTTAATAAAGAAGTAGCAGTTAATAATCTGCAAATTTAGTTACTTTTTTCTTTTAAATTTGTACATGTAATCGCATGGAGTAACTTTAAATCTGTAATTTTGTAATGTGAACCATATTTGTTTTAGTATCTCTCTAATCGGAGTCATGAAGTAAAATGCGCTGCACTTGCTGTGATAGGAGATTTTATTGCCTTGGATGACAAATCTGAAACATTTCAAAAGACACTTCATTTGCTTGCTGATTTCAGCCATGATCATGAACCCAGAGTTCGCACTGAGGCACTGAATGCGTTGGTTGGTATAAAATATTTCTGAATCTCTTAGTTATTTCTTAATTAATAAAGTTCATATATGTTTGTTTTGGGAGCAAGTGTGAAAAAATTGCGGTTATTAAAAAATAATTTTTTGTAATTTTCCTTAGTTCCGTCTACATGACCGTGGTCTAAAATTGGATTCTACTTTATATGAAGTGGTATGTGAAGCTCTTACAGATGATTATGAATGTGTAAGGATGGCAGCACTGAAGTTGATAGATGTCATAAGTCATTTACATTCTGAAAAGTTAGTTATTTTTTGTGTTTCTTGATTCATAACAAGTTAACCCCCCTTTTATTATTGGTGGAAGGGGTTGTTTGTTTTCTTGTATAGTTGATTAATCCAAATCATTTCTAAAATTTAAACTCAATAAATTCTGTAATTTTCATTCTAAATCTCAATATAGCTAATTAATAGCATTAGTTTAATTATTATTATTATTGTTTATTTTTATTGAAAAATTACATTAGTTTAACTTTTATCATTCAGTGGTTATTCAGCAGTTATTAAAAAAGGCACTGAAATTTTAGGCTACTTCCATGCTAATTCTCTCCAGAAATGAAATCATACATTATCAATATATTTGTAAGCATTTGCTTTGCTATGGCTTTCAATATATACAAATTCTGGCGATTATTTAATAGAGCTAATGCTCTCATTACAAATATTACAAAATATTCAAAATTGCATATGAAGTAGAATCTATATATAAAATGAAGATATCAAATACAGATAACTTAAGAAAATCAGGTACAATTTTTTAGAACACACAACTTATTATCAAAAAAACTATAGCATTTCAGCTGCAGGTTTTTTTTTTTTTTTTTTTTCCAGTTTCTTAGTAAATTTATAGTTAATGTTCACAGTATGCATTTTTCTTGAATTAAAAAATCTTCAAGTAAAGAAATGTGTAATAATTTTGTAGAAAACAAGCACATGCAAACGTAAAAATTCATCTTGAGATAATTGTGTTTTTTATATGTGTGTGTTTTTATATTGCTTTCCTATATAGCTTGTTTTAAATATAATATATACACTATTTATCATGTTTAATGTAATTTCTTTTATTTATCTTGAATTCGGGAGCTTTGTTCAAATAATAAAAATGAAATGTTCTGCATATTTTGTGAGTTTGATCTATACCAGAGTCAGTGCAACCTGTGTGATTGTGTTAGCTGGCAGAACTGAGAGGTAGCAATATTTTAGAATTTAGAGGGGCAAAAATTAGGAGCTGTAAAGATTGTACTTAATGGGAAAAAGCTGACCACTGGCCCTGACAGGTGCTTGGCAACAGTCACTTATACCTGGCCATGCCATTTCTCAAGAGGCATTTCATGGCTTTTTAGCCTCCATGTTTGTCCTTTTCTTTTTTTTTTTTTTCTCTCTCTCTCTTTCCTTTTCGACAAATTTTATATAATATAAATTTCAATATTCACCTCTTTGCTGATAGCATTTGACCCTTTCAGTATGGGCGTGTCATATGTGCATCAGCAGCGAACATTACCTCACGGCCGGGTGTGTCATACTTGAATCGCCATTTAATTCACTATGGCCGGGCGTACCACATTTGACTTTTTAGATAGAACGTTTAATTAGTATTTTTTGTTGCCGCTAGATGTAACTGTATGTATGTCTGTTATGAGGAAATATATCGAAAGTTAAGTATGTGTACCTTCATTCCTATGCAATGTTTTTTATTTTTGGTATTTTGTTTCGGAATGAGAATCATTTGATATAAACAAATGCACATGTTCTCAATGCTTTAAGGTGCTTTTTTTTTCTATTTTTGCAATATAGGTATCTGAATGTAGAAGAATATACACAAATGCTAATTCGTTAGTGTTGAGTAATGTGATGGCTCTTACTGTGTCATTTCATATAAACAAATGAACATGTTCTCGATGCTCTGGAATATTTTTTAATTGAATTAATTTTTATTTTATTTTTAATTCTCAAATAGTGGAATAGCTGTTCTATTAGTAGCAACTTTTTTATTACGCTTAGATTTTTCCGTCGTTGAGATGAATATTTTTGTATGGCTTAGTGAAAGTTTTTTTTTTTTTTTTATGTTCTATTACTGGTGTTATATTTTTTTAATGGCAAAACGAAATCGCTATCTGACTGTAAAAGATACGCAAATGCTAAACAAGTCAAATTTGCTGATATTCTATTCCTGTGACATTTGCAATGTTGGACTTTGCGTACACCCATGTTTCAAAGAATATCATACACTGTCTCTTTTTTGAAATATTATATCCTTTTCATTGTTTGCTCATTGAATGTTTATGCGACAGTTTTAGTATTTTTTAATTTTAATTATGTGTTGTGTTGGTAAAAGTTTACAATTGGGTGCCCCTTGTTTCTTGGCGATTCTTTTTTGATGCCAAGATCGGCACCAGGAGGGTGCAATTTCAAGATGGCCGCTAAACAAAACCAAATTAGGAAGTCAAATAATTGCACAAACTCTGTGTCCTTGTACACATCAATCTGTTTTCACTTAAAAAAACATCCTAGAATTGCACAAACTAGGCATTGCGCACTGCCTTAAATTTGTCCATGTACACATCAATCTATTTTCATTTAAATAAAGTCAGGAAGCTAAAACAAAGTTAAAACTATCATGGTAACCAGAAGTGAGGTTTCATCACAAATTTTTAAAAAAAAAAAAATTGTCACTTATCGAAGGGGCACCCAATTCTACACTAGAGCCATTGTGTTAAATAAAATCTGCAATTATTTGGATATATATTTAATTGTAGGATAAAGGAAAAATTATATTATTCTAGAATGAGTATTTTATAAAATTTTTAAGGAAAATATAACAATAAAGGTTTAAAATTAATTCTGACAACTACCTGAATGTTCTTCTCATAATGTACCAAAAATTGGAACAACTGAATGACAAATTTAATTTATACGAAGTTAGGCTTAGCAGCGCGAATTGCCCATCCCCACAAGACGATGTACCCAGTTAACGCGCCGTCCCAAGAGAATGCTTCAGTAACAGAGGTACTCGTCAGGAATGTGTTAAGTTAAAGAATCATTCAGAAATACTTATTAAAACTTTAATGTTTTCTGTATGTATGTAAAATAAAAAATATTAAACTTAAAATTACTCATTTTGATTTGGGAACTACCTTTCCCTATTCTAAAAATAGTACTAACTTTTACTAAACTGCACTATAAAAAACTAACTTCCATCATGTCATCTGCATTGCGTAGAGAGAGCTCTTGGCCAGTCATTGTTCAAAACTTAAACAAAGGATTCCAATTTTATATATAGGCCTGGCTGAAATGTGCACACACTTTTTCTGCTTGCTTTTGTCTGGATTCTACTACCTAATTATGCCAGCACCACCTATAAACATCAGCTATGATTACAATTACTTGCATCTTCTTGTCCACATTCCTAAATCATTACATTTTATGAAAAAACCAGTAATACTGTAGGAGCTTTCATTTGTGCCATTTCATGTACTTATGTATGTCTCAACAAAAAGTATTTCCATTTTCAAAAGTTAAAACGAGTTAACTTTAGTCTAGCTCTATGACTGAAAGCTAATATACTAGAGGAAAGAGCAATTCCAAAATCCAGATCGAGGGCTAGTAGTGATGTATGGTGCAAAATTATTAGCTTCAAATTTCTGACATGTTTTTGCCCTTCCCATTTGGCAGCTTAACCTTGCTCGGTTTCCCCCCCCATCAATAAAGTAAAGCTGTGCATTCTTAAAACCCTGCTGCTCATTAAATGTGGCCTTCAAAAATTAGTGCTCTATTACCTTTGGTTTTCAAAATTTGTGTTGAAATTTCGTAGGAAAAACGTGAGTGTACATTTCAGCAAGGCCTATATCTAAAATTGGAATCCTTTGTTTAAGTTTGAACTTTGATTGACGAAGAGCTTTATGCAATACAGATAACATATTGCTATTTAGATTTTCAGTGGTGCAATTTAGAAAAAGTTATTACTGTTTTTGAAACAGAGAGGGGAAGTCCCCAAATCAAAATGAGTAATTTTGAGTTTCATATTTTTTTATCTTACATATATGTTTGAGAGTTATAAAATTACTATTTTTAAATGCAATTAAAGGTACTTTTTGCCGGCGCAAATCTTGCCAAGCAGACTTTGTTGGCGACAACATACAGAATACACATAAAAAGTGTTAACAAATGTTAGTTCTAAGAATTTTTTTATTTTGAAGGCATAAACATTTTGATATGGTTTAAAATTTTGTAAAAAGCCAATAAATTTGTAAAAAAAGAAAACACATTAATTTAAGAATTTACTATGCTTTCATGCTTTAACATCCTGATTCGCCGATTCATATCACGTTAACCTAAGTGATCTTATATCATGTAAACTACGCTTCAAAAATCTAATTCTCTCAGCAATTATCTACTTTAATGTCAAGTTAACTCTTAATTTGGAATACAAGTTTAAATGCAAGAATTATTTCAGTTCGTACGAATAGCTTAGTCAAAAATTATGTAAAACCGCAGTGACTTACTTCACTAGTGCATTCTCATTAGAATTGATGAATTTAACCCTTGATTTTGCCTTTTCTATATTTTCGCCTTCGGGTAAGCTGTGTGATTGCACTCTAATTGACTTAATTACTGCGAATGATCTTAGGGCATAAAATTTAACTATCTTGTAAAAGTTCTATGTAATTGTATGCCAGTATTGAAAGGAACAATCAATTTGATAAGAAATGACTGCGACTTGTTTTGAAAATGAGGCGTAAAAGGTTACCAGCGAAGATATTCTGTTTGGCATCAGTTGTACCATTGTTGGCGACTTTATCGTTTGCGCTGGCAAAATGGAAAAGTACCCAATTAAATATATGAAGCTCTAATTATTTTGTAGTAAAATTTCTGTACATATTTTTTGACAGAAATTATTATTTTTGAATTATTTGTAAAAATTACTAATTTTTATTATACAGTCAAAGGCCTTTAATCCGGACGTCCATAATCCGGACCTCAAAGCTACAAACTTTCTGCGCATGTGTTAACGCATGCGCACAAGACCTTTACGCATGCGCGTTTAATATATAACGGACACGGAATAAGCTAAGCTAAAATTATCTAATTATCTATTTCAGTTAATGTTGCAGATTGCGTTGTTCCTTAATCTCCTAATTGAATCCGGCTTATTATTTTTTGCAGACTGTTAGAGCAATTTTATAAAAGTAAGCTTGAACTTTCGATTATGTCAAAAAGAATTTCCGATTCTGGAGTTACCAAAGGATCTACAAAGTGAAAGTATGTTTCGATGTCCATCAAACAAAAAGTGGAATTGCTGCAAAAAATGGATAAAGGCATATCCTTTGATTCTTTAACCATTCCGAAATATGTTTATCGATTTCACGCTGCTCTGCTGCGGGAGGGGGGATGCAGCGCGCAATGAACTGGAAGTTGATCTATCAGCACTATCCTTATCTTCAGGGCAGATGTTTTTATTTTATACAGCTTATCATTCCTTACTGAAAGTAGTATTTCATCTCGATGTACTCCGTCTTTGATATGATTTAAATCAAATTCTTCGTTATTATAAATATCACAAATACACATCAAATAGTTTTCTGGTTGTAATTTTCTAATTTCAATTATGCGTAATGTATGCTTTACGCATGCGCGCGTTGAAAGAAATGTTTAATAAAGTAAACAAATAAATATTAAGCTTTTTTTTTTGTAAATTTTGATACACTTTCAGATCATAATGATCATAATTGATCTTTATTTCATAAATTATGGTTTCATATTTTTAATTTTATAATTTCTGCATGCCATCTTACCAGATTTTAACTGATGATCTCTAATCCGGAAAAACCGATAATCCGGAAAAACCGATAATCCGGAATCGCTGAAGTTCCGACAAGTCCGGATTAATGACTTTTGATTCTATGTAGTAATTTCTTACCCTATTTATCAAACTAATTGATGTTTCTGATTGATGATTTCTAGATGATGTGACATGCTAGAAGATGGGAGAAATTTAATAAAATCAAAAATAAAAAGTTGGCTATTTTAAATATGAATTTTATTGGCAATGTTTTTGCCCAGATAGGTTGATTTGTTTAGTTCATGTATGCTAATTTTATAAAGAACTCTCATGTACATTCTCTGAAATGATAACAAGAGTATGTATGTATGTATGTAATTCTGCATCCCTCCCACTTAGGTTAGTGTCTGTCAGTCCTGAAGAACAGATCAGGCTTGCAGATGATGCTTTTGCTAGAATTTGTAAAATGATTACTGATCCATCTACAAATGTTCGTGTGCTTGCAGCATCACTTTTGGTAAGTTTATTTAAAATATTGTTTTAATATTTAATGTTTTTTAAATTAAGTCTTTTCTTAATACAGCAATTTCATATATAATAGACCTCCAAGTGTCTGGATTAGCTTAAATTACAAACTATATTTTTGAAATCCAAATAATTGGTTGTCTGTTTTTACAGTTCAGAAACATGTTTACTACAGTGCTGGTGAAGAAATTTTATTTTTCATTCATCGTTTATTTATTTTAACAAAAATTGTGTAGCTTTTCAGCTGTCTAATCTTATTTTTTATATCTATAATATATATCACAAAACTCTCTTTCCAACCTAATTCTACTATTAAGTTATTTTTTACATGCTTAAACACACAACCTCTTTCTGTTTCTGTTAAAATAATACAAGGGTATTATTATTTCTTTCACTTTATGGTCAATAATACTACTTAACCCTTTCAACCCAACTTTTGCATGATTAAAATTTTGCTATGAAAAGTAGTTTAATTTAATCTTGAATACTAAAAGAAGTATGATATGAGTTTAAAGTTTTTAACTTTTCCCATTTCCTGGAAATCTCCCAATCGTATTTTCAACAGTATGTCCCAATCGTCTAGAATGTTTCCTTTTCTCAGAAAACAAAACTAAAATTTGTGGTAATATATAATGTAAATACAGTAAACTCTCGCTACAATGATACCCGATACAACAATAACTCCCTCTACTACAATAATGTTTTGTGGTCCCGGTGATTTTGCATATAAACTAATGTTAATCTCCCCTCAATATTGCTATATTCTCTAGAACAATAAACCTCTGTAAAACGATTTTTTCAATCTAAATTTCAGTATTATTTTCTCCCTTTATAATAATATTTTGATTTTCAAATGCTTTTTTTTTTTTTTTTTTTTCGTTTTCTTTTGTTATTTTTTTCCGTCTATTAAGACTCATTGTGGAATATTCAACTTATCCCTGAATAAATAGCTATTGTTCAGATTTCAAAACAGATGAAGACCACCCTTTTGGGAATTGGAGTGGTGAGGGGGTGAAGTGTAAATGTATGCCTAATCTCATTTCCCAGTAAGCTTTGGAATTCTGATAAGGTTTAAGGACATCTAGACCTGTCTGATCACCTTGTCACAGAACACGTGCCCTTTGTTAGAGGAACAGGGGAGATGCAGGCGGAGTGTTGTTAAGTGACGTACTGAAAAGTGAGTTCAAAGGTTATTTTATAGTCTTTAACGATTTTGAGTTCTACGCGAAACATTTGGTTTAAACTTTTCTTTCTTTCATGCGATATTGTTCCCTAAGATGGCAGGGCGAAAGCAACTATCTTTTCGAGATAAACTGAACGTTATCAATGATATTGATGAGGGAATGAAGCAGATTGATGCGGCTAAGAAACATGAATTATCGCAATCTATAGTTGCAACGTTCCTAAAGAAGAGAAAGCAAATCAAAGATGCTGTAACTTCAAATGAAATTAACCCAGAGCGAAAACGACTGAAAGTTTGCGACAATGAAAACATTGATCGGCTGCTGTTTTAAAATGGTTTTTCAAGAGATGAGAGCAACAATGTCCCAATAAATGGACCTTTATTATGTGCAAAGCACGGAAATTTGCAGCAATGCTAGGGAACGAAACTTTCAAAGCTAGCAATGGTTGGTTAATGCGTTTTCGAGATCATCATGGAATAACTTTCCAAGAAGTTCACGGAGAGAAAAGTCAGCCTCGATAAACGACGCAAATGAATGGCGGCAAAACAGATGAAAGAAATCTTAGAAAAGTATGCTCAGAAGACATTTATAATGCAGATGAAGCTGGGCTGTTTTTTCCAACTCCTACCCCCGATCGAATATTGGCATTCAAGGGTGAAAAGTGTTTGGAGAAAGAAATCAAAGCAAAGACTGTTCGTCTTCTGTACAAATAGCAAGGGGAACGCATAGATACAACCTCTCGTCATTGGTAAATCATTGAAGCCAACTTTAAAACGTGAAAGTCTTCCCGGTTTGTAAGTTTTACTTTTAACGTTATTTTAATTTAATCTTTACTTCTTATTTTCTTTGCTACTTCCGGAAGAAAAACCATGGCCACGAAGAAGAATAACCATGGACGAGTTTCAAGAAGAACCTGAGGTGCCTGTAGCAGCGGCTCAGAATCCAGAAATGCCAGCTGCCGCCCTGGAAGTATTTGAATACATCGTCCCAGACCATGCGCGCATCGATGAAACCAGCAGCAACATTTCGGTGGAAACTCACCGGTGACCAGTTTTTTGGAAAAATTGGATGACCCACTTCATGCTATATCCAGATGCCATGAGTTTCCAGAAAGTCACCTTAGCTACCAGCGCTTTGAGGAGCCAAGCGCTTAACTGGTTCAAATGTATAGGCAGAAGTCTCTTGGGTCAGCAGTCCCACCTATACTTACGAAAATTTCAAGACTGCCCTACTAAAAAAAGCCTTCCCTGTTGTAAGGGATCGTGCGAAATTAGAAAACTTTCAGTATACATCAGCAAAGAATCGAAAATCTCTCGAGCTTTATTTTAAGAAAAATTCACGTCTTCAACTCTTGTATGGAAACCGTCCGGATCCTGAGATAATTCAAGTGATTTTGCTGAGGTTACTGCCCCAAGTGCAAGACTTTATTGAATTAAGAAATCCGACTACACTGGAAAAGTATTTGAGCTAGCAATCCAGTTTGAAAGTAGGAGAACGGCGGACATGAAAGAAGACGCCAATATCAACCGCGAAACCAATTTGGTGTGCCAGACTACAGCAAACTCAAGCACACGGCTGCGGAAGCAAAGCGAATCAGTGGGCAAGGAAGGACCCGAGCATTCAAAAACAAGCCGGCGAACGTCGACAGTTCATAGCAATCCAGGGGAAAAAAAGTCTCAAGGCCAGTGGAAAAAAGAAGGAAGCACGGAAATGAAAAATAATTTAAACTAAAACGGATTTCTGCTGACGGGAGGGTGCGGAAATCCGAAGGCCATGAAAACCCCTCTTCCTTCAAGTTAAATACAGTAATGGTGAAAAATTTGACTCTTCCGAAGATTGAAGTGTTGGTGAATAATATCCCAGCCACCGCACTCCTGGATACAGGCGCGCGGTGTTCCTGCGTGGCAGAAGATTTTTTTAGGAAGTATTTTCGTAAATATCAAATATATATAATTCGGATAATACAACAGTGTTAGCTGCGAATAGATTTTCTTTCAGAGGCACAAGAAACGCTAGATTTTAATGAAGCGTCCCTTAAGCTGACGATGAAACCAGTTTGAGAAGAAAAGGCTGAACCGCCGATGTTAAACCTTGACCACCTGCCTAATGAAGAGCAACGAAGAATCCGACAAGTGGTAAGTGAATTTGCTTCGTTATTTAGTGATATTCCAGGATTTACTAACCATAGTATTGACACCGGAGATTCAATTCCAGTTCGCCACAAGCATACCGTATGATAAGAATAGGAAAAAATTATAGAATGGCATATCACCGATATGCTACGTAAAAAGATCATAACACCCATCTCAAGTAGTTATGCTAGCCCGGTGGTTTTATGTAAGAAAAATAATGACTATCCATTGACAATCCAAAAAGGTGGAGATTCGCAATTGACTACCGTAAATTAAACTCCATAACTAAATATCCGGTATATCCCCTATATTGAAGAAATTCTAAGGACATAACATAACCAAATTATGACGACTTTAGACTTAATGACTGGTTTTTTCAAATAGGGTTTAGGCCGAGGACGTGCCTAAGACGCTTTTATAACCAAGTCTGGCACTTATGCATTTCTGCGTATGCCGTTGGCCTTTCAGGGGACCGTCAAAATTTCAGCGATGTAGACATTGTGTTAAGGCCTGTCTTGGAAAGTCCCATTTATCTATTTAGACGATATCATTATTACTAGTGATAATCTGGACAACATGTACAGGATTAAGACAGTGTTTTCTTTATTAAATGAGGCCGGTCTAAAAAGTAATGTCGAAAAGTGCAAATTTGCAGCCCCGAATTAAAATATTTAGGTTCAAATATCTCAGAAAGGAATCGAGACAGACGAATAAAAAATAATCGAGGCAAAAGTATCCGACTCCAACACGCGAAGAAGCTCTCTTTTTCTAGGACTTTTTCATATTATAGGTCCTTTATAAAAGATTTTGCAGCTATTGCTGAACCTTGTTAAATTAAAAAGGAAAAAGGCAAGATTCTCGTGCACGGCCGAAGCCAATAGTGCTTCGAAAAATTAAAACAAGCTTAACGCAAGCCCCGTGTTGAAATTTCCTGAAAGGAGAATTTAGAAATTTCAGCAGATGCTTCGGATATGCAGTAGGAGCGGTACTTTCGCAAAATCAGCAGCCCGTGGCATTTTTTAGCCGAACTTTAAATCAAACACAAAGAACTATTCCGCGACCGAGAGAGAGGCACTTGCAGTTCTGTTAGCAGTGCAAAAGTTCCGATCTATTTTGGAAAGGCGCCAATAACGTGTACTCTGATCATGCGGCGGTAACTAGATTGTACTCAGGGAAATACTTACCCCCCAAGGTAATAAGATGGGCATCAAGCTACAAAGAAATAATCTGGTAATCAGCAACCCCCGGAAAGGAAAATATCGTAGCAGATGCCTATCCA